TATGGCCATTTGCAGCAGTGATTTTGGTAAGCTTACTTAAAGGGAGTCATTCTGCCTTTAATTTATATTGGTTATTTGGATTTATTTGCTGTGGGTTTTTTCTTTGAATAATAGCATGAGTGTGCTCTCTGATCTGAGTAAGAAACTATGGAAAAGAATCTGAATGGGAGGGCAAAGTGAAACATAGAATGGAGAAGTTTTGCTGCCAAGGTCCTCATTTCCTGCAGGCAGAAAGGTGATGCACTAAACGTGAACTGTGAGTAATGTCACAGGTGTGCTGCTGGCTCAACAGGTGTAGCTGAGTCACGTGTGTGGAGAGGTACACTCAGGTTGAACATGCTTGGTGTGGTCATTTTTATTCCCTTTGTCTGTATTTCTTTTTATAATACATTCAAATATTTTTCCATTTTTCTTAATAATGCAATAGAATTTTTTCTTTCAATCGTGGTTTATTAATTTTATTCCCACATTTTTCCACATGCACATTTGTACCTCTTTGATTAGCTCAAATGGCTAAAGCTATAGAGCTGTCTCTCCACATAGCCACAATTCCATCGCTGTAAATGTACCTACATAAAGAAATAAAACTACAAACTCCAAATTCAACATTTAAAAACCCCACCAAATCACTGCTTTCCTACCAGGCTCACCATACCTTTGAGGCTGTTAAAATCAGACATCAGCATCATCGTGCAAATACAAAACCAGTGCAGAATGTGCTTCCTTAAGAGTGCTCCACAGCTGGTAATTTTTATTCTTCTAAATTAATTGGTGTTCTCCAGCCCGTTGTTTGTCCTGGAGGAAGGTGCCAGTGTCCCCACCAGAAACTGACAGATGTGGGGGCCAGGCACACAAAGGGGACACTCACACTCACAGCAGCAACAGAGCAGAAGAAACAGCTCTTTGAACTGACTCTATTTATGGCCTGACTTCCTTGCCCTGCGCTCACAAATCGCTATCATCAGCTGTTTTGATTAGAGAAAATAGCTGCTAATGAAAGTGTAAATGACACAGCGAGTGAATGGGAGCTTTATGATTATTCTTAGCACGGGGGTCTGCAGTCACTGCACCCTGAGCAGTGCAGGAGCAACTTGGAGCACCAGGAACAAGTGCATTATAGCTTGTCCATAGACTTGAGTGCATCTGATTAAAAATGATCACACAAATAGGGAGACAGAGAGCAGAGACATCTGTTACACAAAATTCTGGGTTCCCTTGGAAATCTAAATAAATGAGGAAGTTCTTGAAAACTTCTGAGATTAGGTTTTTCTGCATCTTGGGTTGTTGAGTTTTCTGTACAAGAGTGAAGGAGTTTTGTGGCAGGAGGGTGGTTGTGTAACCTCTCACTTGCTGAAGAGCTCTTTCTCAAATGGTGGATGTTTCTGAGCCTTCTATGGATGTGAGATTGAAATTAATTTCATTAGTAGAAGAATAATTGATTGCCATGAAAAATTGGGACAATGACAATGATAAAGATGGCTTCAGGACAGCAAACACCTGTCAGATGGGATGCTTCATTATGATGGATGCAAAGAATGCTTTTAAACAGAGACAATGGCTTCTTATGCTTTCCTTCCAGCTAGGATCTTTCTGGAAGAAGAAGGTACATGCATGCAAAGTGATTTTTAAATAAGGCTTCAAATAAATTCACTTTAAGAATTCTGAGTGTTGTTCATCATCTCACAAAGTATCTTTTGGTGGATGGATGACATTGTCTTTTGAGAGGGGAAAAAAACACTAAACCTTTAAATTATAAACCTTAAACAACCTTTTTTTCTGACCAAATAATATTCTGATTCTTCTTGGATCAACCTCTGTTAGTGCTGTGAAAAGAAAATCTCCAGAGTCCCCTGGAGTCAGGAAGGAGATGTCTGTGATGGTCATTGTCTTGGAACACAGACTGAAAAAAATTAATCCCTGAGCTGACCTCTTGGGCTTTTTTACATTGCATTATCCACCTTTTTCCTCTGGTGTAGCTGGTTTGAGGAGTCATAAAGCACAACTCCAAGGACGTAGCACAGCTAGTGTGGGGATCCCCTGTGCAAAGGATGCAATGTAAGCTCAGAAGTGTGTCCATGTGCAGGTGGTGTGTGTAAAAACTGCCCAGCAAAGCTGCTCTCCAGTTATTTCACTCAGTGAGCTCAAAGTACCTGAGCTGTTCTCCTGCTGCTCCATAACCACCTCCTGTCTTCTCACATCTAGTGGTGAAAGGATCCATCCGAAATGTCTCCCACGACTCAGAGAACCACATGTCCCAGGTCGATGTCAGTGTCCAGAAAGTCTACAGGCAGAAAAACCGAATTTTCCAGCAGGAGGAAGGGGGTGGGGAGTGGCGAGGCCCCATCCGAACCCTCCTGCAGTGCAAGGTGAAGAAGGGAGGGGGAGATTTCCTCTTCACTGGGAATGAACACTTCGGGGAAGCCTGGCTGGGCTGTGCCCCTCGCTTTAAGGATTTCATGTTGGTTTACCAGGCTGCCAGAGAAAGGGGAGCCAACCCCTGTGAGTTTGAGCTCAACTGACATGAGAGACACTCTTGCTGAGAGTTCCAAAATTTCAGCCCAGGCTTTGGACACTGAATGTGGAGCAGAGTTAAAACCAAGGACTAAAGTTAGTAATCCACCTGAACTGGGACCTGGAGGATTTCCTGAAGATAATGGCTCTGTGAGCCCTGTGAACTCGGACTTTGAACTCACATTAATTTCTCTTTCTTCACATTTTCTTTGCCTCACAAAATAACTCTGGATTTTGGAAAGATGGTCTTTTGGGGAAGGTTGGAAAGCAGCCTGTGCTCAGTACTAGAAAACATCTAACATCTCCTGCTCTGTGTAAATGTTATGTGCTTTTTCGCTAGATATTTTTCTCCTCTTCCCCGTGTCTGCTTGATTTCTCTTCCTTTACAGGTAAATGTGAAAACTCTCTCTAACCCGGGAGGAAAAACTACCTCTAAAACCAAAAAAAGCCTTTTTTTCACCAAGAGCTACTTGATTTTTAAAATGCAACATAGATGCTGTGAAAAGCACATGCTCTTTTCTGACATTGAAGAACATTAAGGAGTTTAATACAAGCACAGACAAAATGCAACTAAGTCGCCTCCTTAAAGTTCTGTTGAACTAATTTAGAATTGCTTATGATGGTATTTTCCCCTAAATTATCTGCTTCTTTTCAATTAGCTTTTATTATTTGATTGGTGGTTCCTCCCACCCTCCCTTAGTGCTTTAGCCAGAATGACATAATTGCCTGTAGTTTATGTAAATGGAATTGCTACACCGTAAAATGATATACAAATGTGTCAACCACACAGAGCCCAATAAATGGTGTGAATAAACCCATTATTTCCCATGTAATGGCATCTGATGGCAGCCTGGGCAACACAGGGCTGACAGATGTGAGCCCATGACAGGGCTTGGAGAAAACTGAATGAGGAGAACTCTGACAGGCCACAATTAATTGACTTTTGGAATGACTCCTCTTTTCCACAGTTCTACTTGGCTGAGCAAGATTCACAAATTGCTGTCTTGAACTTTTTTATGGGACAAAATAGCTGCCAATGAAAGTTTAAGTGAAATGAGCTTTGAATAGGAGTCGTACAATGACCACACTGTGACATGTTTTTAATTGACATTGATTATTTGAGAAGTAGCAGCCACTTAATTGGGAGGGAATTAGGAAGAGGGGAAGAAATGGGAGGGAGTCAGAGAAACACACTACTAAATACAATTTTACTAAAATAGGGAATGCCTTGATAAAGATTTTTACATATATTCACGGAGAGTATAATTTGGAGTCTAAGTCAGTTGTTCTTTTTGCTGTGAAAAGGTATTCACAAAGCTAAATCAAGAGGAAATATCATTAGCAAGGAAGAAAACAGACCTTGTATAAATATGATCATGCTGATTTCCCTGGGGCCTCAGGGCCTGCTCAGGCCTCTGGCTGTAGTCACAGCCAAATTTACACAGGCTTAAAATACTTCTTTGTCTATCTTTGGAAACTGAGGCAAAGGTCTGGCAGATGTAATTGACCTCCTAATCCCAGGGACATCATGGGACACGTAGTGAAGATGAGGATTTAGTTTTTGTAGTACCTATCACACTGCTCAAGCAACACTGTGTGAGTCTGAAAACTCTTCAGAGTTTCTTCTCCAAAACCTTCCTCAGCCCAACTCACTTTGGAGAACTTTAGGTGGAAATGTTTGTTTCATGGATGGTTTGTTTTGACTTGATTTTTAAATCTGTTGAGGCACCAGAGCAGCTCCCTGCTGAGTTGTTTTCCACTTGCAATTTCTCTGGGTGGTATCAGGAATCATCACCTATTGCTGCATCCAGGTGTAATTTAGACTGGCAGATGCTGGATCTCACCTAAAGCTTTTTAAAGCAATCCCACACTGTGTCCTTATCCATCTTCCTGAAGCTGATGACCGTGGTTTTGCTTACCCAAAAAGGGTTTACTGGGAAAGATGATCTCAGTGAGGATGCAGCCTTACTGATAATGGGTGTGTGGCTCAGGGGAAGGAGGCAGTTTAGGACCAGTCCAGACAACACCCAGCTCTGCCTGTCCCTTCTCCAGTTCCCCATAACTCAGTGAGTGATGCACTAAAAGAGTCCTTTGTATTCTCTTGTGTCTCCACTTCTGCCTCCCTCCCTGCTTCGACCCTGAAAAGAGAACAGAACACTCAGAGTTAGGGTTTACTGTGAGTATTTATTGAATTCAAGCCATCACCATTCACCAGCCAGCTCCTGGAGTGGTCACAGGCACAGGGAGCAGGTGGCACAAAATCCATGGTGGTGGCACAAAATCCATGGTGGTGGCACAAAATCCATGGTGGTGGCACAAAATCCATGGTGGTGGCCCTGCTTATGTGTGGCTGGCACAGCTACAAACAGTAACATACCTTATACAGACTGAAGTACAGGATTGATATATCAGCATAATCTACAGGTTTATAACTACATAAGCATTTATTTTCCTAAATATACTGTTTTACTGATGTCTTTAATTGAAGAAAAGATTAAACGTTCATTTTCATTCAGCAGCCGTTTTTTTAATTTGCTCTCACTTGTGTGTTAAAATGCAAATCAATGCATGTCCTCGTAGCTTTAACACCAGAATTAGTTCTTTTTCTAGACTAAGTTGCTTTCTTTTTAATAGTAAAAAGAGAATCACAGTTAAAATATATGCTCCAATCTATGTCTTGTTTAAAACGAATGCAGATCTGACAGTTACTTCCCGAATAAAACCACTTCATTTGTCTTGAAAAGGTTTTAAAATGATCATTTATCATGCAGTAACTGGTATTTTTCCTAAACACACTAACGTTTATTACTAGTTATAATAGCTATATCACACTAGTGCTCCAATATATGCAAGATACCTGAAGCTAAATAAAACAGTGCTTTTCAGAAGCCCAGAGATTGGTCCTAGTAATGCCAAGGTCACCATTTCCATCCCCTTACAGGTCATTCACTTAAAAGCTGGACTCAGTGATCCTTGTGAGTCCCTTCCAACTCAGAATACTCTGTGATTCTGTGAATTCCAGATTAACAGTTTCATTCTATGACTTCTAGTCATTCATAGCACAAAAGAAAGCAGAACAGAGGTTCAGGAGCCCAGCAGAAGGCTTGGAAATGCCTGGAAATGCAGGGCACCTCATGTGTTCCACATGCTTGGTCCTACACCAGTGTCCAATGTCAAGAATCTCACTTTGTCCAACGAGGCAGAATAAAAGCTGCTCTTTACTTTGTTTGGGTGTCCCTCTAGACTATGGCCACAGATGCCCGTAGACTCAGAGGTCAGTACTGACACCTCTTTAAAGTCAAGAAGCAAGAAACAGAGGATGGGACGTTCTCCACTGCACAGACTGCTGGAGCACGTTTTTGCACACAGCCAAGGGGACAGAGTACCCCAGCACGCTGCTGAGTGGATCTGCAGCCCTGTGGCACAGCCAAGCAGCTAAAGGATTCCTCAGAGGGAACTGCTCTCATCTTACACTGCTGAAAAACTGGAAGAGCAGAAAAGCCAGTTTGTCATCCCTTGTTGGCTCCCAGCAGGACACATTCTCCTTCTGCACCTTTTGCAGCATTCTGCTCAGGCTGGGAATTTTAGTGCTGACTGTGCTTTGGAAAGCAGAGACTCTTGAGAGAGTAGAACTGCTCCAAAGACAGCCATGGCACTTTTAGATCCACCATCAATTCCATAACCCATTCTGACCAAAAAACTGGAAGAAATGAGACTTGTGCTATCCTTGACAAAGTACTAAGAGTTTACAAACCAAGTAAAAATAGAGACACCAAGCCTGAATTCCTGAAACCTCTCACAAAGCACTTTGGCTAATGTGGAATGTAGTCACAAGAGGGTCTTTTAAGCCTTCTAACAATTCCCTGCCAAACTGCCAGCAGTGGCTTTGTTCTCTATTTCACCAAGTCCTGTAAGGGAGTTTTACAAATCCAAGTCCAGGAAGGCTCTCATGAGCTTCCCATGGGCTACAAGAAATAAGAGCTGGCACAGGAAATCCAGAGGCACCAACAAGGTAAAGGCCCAATAACGATGAGATCCAAATACCTTGATTGCCTACAGATTGTTTTAAAGTTGTAAGTAAGAAGTACAGATTTCTCTGTACCTGGGAGAACTTCTAAAGACATATCACAACCCGAAGAACACCAGGAGAATTAAAAATCCATCCCAGGAGGAATGGATGTATATCCTCCTTTGTGCTAATTCTCTGTATGTCTAAAGACTCACCCTGTCTGCCCACAGCCTTCACACAGAAAGGAACCAGCATTTTCCAGGTACTTGCGTTCTGTCTTGAGACTCTTCAAATTTGAGTCCCAAAAACATGCAAGAAATCCAGTTTCTACTACCTGAACAACAAAAGATACACCAGCAGAAAATATCCCGCCTCATAAAGAAGAAAAGCGTTATGACATGAGACCTTGCTTGAAGCTAAAGATACACCAGCAGAGAATATCCCACCTCATAAAGAGGAAAAGCTTTATGACAGGAGATCCTCAGACCAGGAATGTCTCCCCTGAACTCCTCAGCACATAAAAAAACCCCAGCACTGAAGAGCCTTCAGTGTAAAGATGTGAAGCATGTTCTGTGTCAGAAGATGACACAGAATGCTTCATCCCACAATCTTCACCACAGGATGCACACCACTGCTCTGCAGGTTGTCTTCCTGACAACTCTCTGGTGTATTCCGAGTGTCTGGGCTGATATCATTTGTTTCCTGGTGATTCTAAGACCATTTCTTTCCCATCAATTCTAGAAGTCTCTGCAGTTCCATTCTGATGAGATTCGTCATATTGGCCTTTGTAACTCAGAGCCATAAGACCTGAACTTAGGGATTTCAACAGCTCTTTCTGTAGCATCTGGTGGAGTCATACACTGAGAACACCTGTATGGACAACAGTCTGTGCACAGGCAAAAAGGCAACAGTGAGACATCCCTCAAAGCCTGAACTTGTCAAGGAATTCTTCCTGTTTCTTTCAAAAAGGGGTTATTGTTACCTGTGGAACACATGAATTCTATTGCTCCTTTACAGGAAATCACTGAAGCCACAAGAGACACTGAAGACATTCAGCAAGGATTTGCATCATAATTTTGATTTTAGAGCAATCAAGACCTTTGCAAACCATTGTAATATTTACTATCACCAACATTTTGCTAAATCACTACCTAAATGGCTTTGGCAATTCAGACCAAAGAATTGGCAGATTTCCTAAACTGCTTAAAAGAGATGATAATTTTTGTATGAAATGATCAATCTTTGAGACAGATTATCTGCACTGTAAAGGAACTAAACTGAGATACAAGACCTTACTCCTTCATGGGACAGAGAGAGATAACAGCATCATTGGAAAAGAGCCAGAAGGCTGGGTACAAGGCTTCAGTGAACTGCGCTTTGAATTTATAGATCAAGTTATTCTTCTCCCCCACCGCCATGAAAATCACAAAGCCCCCCTCGCAGTGGAGCAGCACCCCAATCTTGGTAGCCTTGGTGTTGGGCAGGCACTTTTCCACGTCGTTGTGCCAGGACGATATTTTGGAATTGAGCCACTCGACGCACCAGGACCTGCTGTTCCTGCCCAGGCGGCTCTCGGGGCCGCGCCGCTCCATGCTGCCATAGCACACCCCCACCCCGCAGAAGCTGCTCTGCTGCAGCTGCACCTCCCAGTAGTGGATGCCCCTCTTGAAGCACTGGAAGCCCAGCACCTGGCGGTAATCCGTGAAGCGCTGGGGGTGGTACTTGTGGCTCGTGAAGGTGTCTGAGATGGACATCTTGGTGTAGTTCTCAGACAGAACCAGGGCGTTGTGAGCCGTGTTGTAATCCAGCGTGATGTTGGCAGCGTCTGCAATGACAAGAATCCCTTGAAGGAACCGAAGAACAAAGCACGTTTATTTATCTGTCCCACCTCAGCACTTGCTGCCATGTTTATTTGCCAGCTCTGCTCTCTTCCTCAGTATGAATCGCGATTATAGAGAGTTAAGATTTTACCTAAGGGTTAGAAGCAATTCATATTGATCAAGATGTAAGTTAGGTAGGCAAATGGTAGGTTAATGATTATTAGATGCTTACACTAGAGCTAATTGTTATATTGTTTGCCGTTATGAGCTTGCTTATAGAAAGAAGTGGAGAAAGTGAATTGTTATAAGAAGAGATTGAAACCAGTAAGAATAATGGCCAGCACCTGGACTGTATATCAGTTAATCACGAAGCAGGGGGCCTTCGATTGTGCCAGAGGGTCACAGAGACCTGATGAAGACTCTCCTGACTTCATCCTTTGAGACCACCGACCCAATTCAAGAGAAGAACAGCGCACACATGAAGGACTAATGGGCTCATTTCAATATGGGATGGGGATGGGAGATGCAGGGGTTATGCAAATGTATTTTATGCAAGATCCTGGGGAATAAATAGAGGGCAAAGAACCTTGTTCGGGGCGGTCACGCCTTTCAGAGGTGACTCTCCGCCGCCCCCCCGTGCTGCCCGCCGGTGAATAAACATGAATAAACATGAATAAACATGAATAAACATGAATAAACATGAATAAACATGAATAAACAGACCACTTTGTAACTTTAATTAGTTACAGGGTCTTTGTCCATGATCATATCAGTTTTTAACGATTCAAGTGCAGCCAGTTCTTAGGGCCACAGTAAAAGCTGTTGGCTTCAACTGCAGCTCTTTGTTACACAACAGGCTAATGGAGGGCAAGTTTTCTTCCTTCCTGCAGCCCCAAAGGATTCTCTTATCACCCATATAAACCCTGGCAAAAGGCAATTGCTGATCTGGCAGCAAAAGGTATGCCATGTTGTACAGCATCTTAACAAGCAATCATGGGCTAACATAAAAGCCTGCATTACATTTAAAAACAATCCAGTGCATTACACTGTGTTTCTAGGCTACCCTAATGCTGTCTTTTTTGGGGAAACCAAAGTCATTACTTAAAAAAATTATTTTATCTTAAAGAAGATACATGGATGCTGAAGATTAATTTGATTCATCTAGCAAAATAACCACTTAGAAACCGCCTGCCCCCTTTTTCTCCAGAAATTTCCTTCATTTGTAACAACCTATTAAGCTAACGAAATCTCCTCAGAAATAATTCTGTCAGGTAACTACAGAGACCACATAACACCAGTACAACAAGAGCAAAGTTCATCTTTAAGGAGTGTAATGTTGGGTGTCTTACACTGCAAGAGCTCCTCTCTGGGCTTCTTCAGGAAGCTGCCAATGAGCTCTTTAGCAGCAGCAGCAGCAGCAGCAGCAGCAGGAGCAGCAGCAGGAGCAGCAGCAGGTGCGGTGGCTGGTGCTGTGTCAATAGAAGAAAAGAGAATTTGGCCAGTTGGGAAGAGACTTCACATGTTTAACACCCCATCACAGACACATCAGGCTGGAGCTGATCTGGTTTCGTCTCCTGCTCCATGCAGGGTTAACTTCAATATTAGCTCAGGCTGTTCACTGTCACATCAAGTTTTGAAAATCCCACTCTCTGAACAACTCCTCTCAGTGTTTGATTGCTCTCACAATGACCAGCAAGAGCTGAATTTTTGCTCAATACATCAACACTAATGACCAGGTTATAATTTTAAGAGCAGTCAACGAAAATCGGAATAGGCATGATGAAAGTTCAGACTCACCAACTTTAGCAGCTTTCTTTTTCTCTGCTGGAGAGGGGAAAAGAAAAAAGTACACTGTGAGTTTTACTGGGAGGCAAAAGCCACTGGTAAGAATATGTCAGTTGTAACAGCATCACCGTGGCCCTTCTGAAACTGCAGCAGTAAAGAGCTGACAGCCCAGCAGGCTGAAGCCATGTACAAATACCCTAACACTGGAAAGCTGCACATAAAGCACAACCTTCCACCTGCTGCCTATTTCACAGGGTCATAAGCCTGGAAGGAGCTTGATCTCCCCTCCAGGAGCAGTGTGTTCAGACACATGGAATACCCCTGTTCCCATGAGGAACACTACTCCTTTCCTTTTTACAACAGAGCTTTTAGTGCAGCAACAGGAGCTGCAGCTCCATTCCAGTCGTGCTTTCCCAGCACACCTGACTGCTCCACACCCAGCACTTGGACCATGTGTCAAGAGCTCCCTGGAAGCAGCAGAAGTTGTTTCTTTACACTTGCATTTATTTCAAGAAGAAAACATGGAAGATCATCCAAACACGCTACAGTGCCCATTAATTCTGGTATCTGGACAGAACAGTAGTGAGAGGTCCAGTATAACCTGCCACAAAGACTATCATCACCCCAGCCCTAGACTGGAGGCAGCAAAATGTTTGAGAAAGGCTCCTTTAATCACCACTTACTGGTATCTGTCTCCCCCGGCGAAGTGATTTGGGGATTGGTTTTCTCTTTCTCTTCTGTAAGGGAGGTAGAAAAAAAACAGAACATGAACAGCTCCTAAGCAGAACTCAATACATACAAATCTACAAAACAAACAAAAAGGTATTTGACACAAATTTTAAAAAACTGCAACAACCAGAGGGTGGGGAGGCTCTGCTTTGCTTTATAGCCCACACTGACATCACTACAGGCTCATGCACCCGTGTACCTGTGCAGTTCACCTGTCCAGCTCACAAGGCATGCATCCTCAAATATCCCAAAGCACCCTCCCTTCCCTGTGCCAAGGTGCTCACTCCAGGTCATCACTGCATCACCAGCACAGCAAACAGCTCTTGGGTAACTGCTTCAACTCTTATTTAACACTAAAACCATAGTTAGGACAGGATGATGTTTTGTAGTACTTACTTGGTCCAGGAGGCTTTTTTCCAACAGCGAGTTTGTTTGAAGGACCTGCTGGAGGAGCCTTAATTTTCGCAGGTTTGGCTGCAATGGTGATAATTTGCATTATGGTTTGTGTGGCCAGGAACAGTCATGCATTAGTGAGGACATTTTTCCATCTTATTTTTCAGCTAAGCGAACAGAACTGAAGTGATATTTGGCAGAGATGGGAACTGCACACCCATGCCCTGGTCCAAAAGACAATTTGGCTTAACTTGGTAAGCAGAGCTTTGTTCCACCACACTTACACAACCAGCACCTCTACAGCTGAGTAAGCAGAGTCCTGCCACTCTAAAGCCGTTTAAATCCTCCCTCAAATCCACACCCAACCCTACTACATAGTAACACCATAAATTACTCTAAGGAAGAAAGGCTGGGCTGTGCCAGAAGGGTGTAATATCATGATACTAATCAGCTTATCCAAGTATAGATAACAGTGAAGAAACACTGGCACATTCTGTCTCTCAATTTAGCCCAGACTGTAATGTTTTTGTGTGGAAATGGAACACTGCAGAGATTGAAAGACATAATTTATATTAATCAACTGTATTTGTTGCACTTAAAAAAAATTATATTTGGATTAGAAAGATCCCTTATTCCAGCTCAAAGCAAAAACAGAAAATGCCAATTTCCCCAGTGATACAGTACCGTCTTCTTTTTTCTCCCTACTCTTAATGACTGATAGTTTCACTACATCTTTGAGGGTAATGGCAGCCTGGTAAGTGGAATGCATCACATTTTGGTCCATCTCAACTGCAGGAACGAAAGCTTCTTTTGCTGATTTTTTTTGCAGTGCTGCTGCTCTCTGAAACGACAAATGAGAGACCACCTGGTGTAGCACACAGAGAACAATACAACCAACTTTAAATGGGGTGCAGTTTGTGCATTCATCTCAAACTCAATGGAACAAAGGCTACAGTCAGACACAGCTCATGGCAAAATTCCAGCAGTAGCTCAGATGCCTTAATTCCCACTGGCACCTGAACCAGTGACCACAGGTCACAGCACAGAGCTGCCACACCTCACAGGGGTGACTCCTGCCCAGTGACCCCTCTGCTTGTGGCAGAGGCACAGCTGAACTGGGGGAGTCACCAGACACCCCTTCAGCATTCTCCCACTCATATTTGGGTACTTCTCAGTACATCCTTTGATAGCAGGTTCTTGCACACCACTGCATTTCCATTTGACTGGAAGTCTCTGGAGAGCAGGAAGACCACAGCAGGTTTTTGTCATTCTGCATTTAGAATGAAGAATTGGATTCACATTTAAATGACACATTACCTTGAAAAACAGAATGTCATCACTTTCAGTCAGTGCCATCTCAATCTGATCTTTGAGAGACTGAATTTCATTCTTCTTATTTCCCAGCACACTGTAAATATAATCGAACTTATTCCAAACTCTCTTTTCTTCCTCTGTAATTGCTTTCATGATCTCATTTTCTCTTTCTTCAATTACAGCTTTTATTTCTGAAAACTCATTTCTGATCAATTCCTTCTTTCTTGAAGCTGTTTCCTGGAGCAGATAAGAGCAGATAGGCACTAGTTTCAAAATAACAGTTTGTAAACAAAATAACTCTCCTGCTACTGCATGAAAGCCTCTGAGGAACATGTGGGCTTCTCTTCCTTGAAACAAGCAAGAGAAGAGCTGTGGATTTCTGGTTTGGAATAAAAACTCCTTCACTGCCAAGGAATGGAGCCCATTCTCTGTGTCACCCTCACGTGAGGCTGTAAAACCTTGCACAATGCTTGGTTTCCTCCCATCTCCCACAGAGCTGCCTGGCCCTGCCAAAACTCCCTTTATCTGTTCCTTCCTAGCAGCACCTTCTCCTGCCAGTGCAGCCTCAGTTCTACAGCCGCTATCACAAGGGTTCAGTCACCAACACCACGCCGTGGCCAGCGGGTGCCAGGCAGCCTGAGAGCCTCGGAAGAGTCACCCACTTACAGCGGATTGATTCTGGTTTGTTTTCACCGTGTTCATTGCCCGGGCAGTTCTTTCACTCTGGTTATGCAGATCCACGAGTTTTTTCTTCAGCACCGACTGCAACAGGAGAGATCAGAAAAAGTGTTTCAGAGAGGCAGTTGTCATGTCTGCTCACAGTTTTATTCTTTTAAGCATTTATCACTCTCAGCTTAAAATCTACCTTCCCTTGAACCTCAGAGGGTGTAAAAGTCCTGCACACGTGTGGTTTGTGGCACCCACACCCTCCCCACCTTTCCCAAGTGCAAGATGTCATTGTTGACACTCTCTTCACAAAGATCTGCTTTCTGCACAGCAGTTCTCATGTTCTCATGCTAAGAACAAATGTTACATTAGCTCTCGGGTTGGACTTCGGGCACAAAGTTGATGCTACTGTTCGCCCCTCTCCTTTTGAGAATTTTCTCATTCAGATGTTCCTTTCGTTCAAGGTTCTGCTAAGCTAAATCAGGGCTAAGTTCTGCAGCTAAGCTGTGTACTACATACTCACTGAACAGCAGGAATTTGGCCAACTAAACTTTTTCAGCATACTTTATTCATCCACACTGATTTTCAGCTGTGCTGGAAAATATAAAGGCCAGGTTTCCTTCCCTTCTACTCTGTGAACCTCCTTCTGGCTTTCATCTACATACTTGAGACCCTAAGATACCTTTAGAATTCTTCTTAAGAACATCTGCAGAGGAATGTTAGCACCTCAGGATGTGACAAGCCCTGGCAGGGAGCAGAGCAGCAGAGGAGGCTCAGAGGTCTGGGTGATGCCACAGAGTATGGGAAGCCTCACTGGGGAGCCCAGCCCAGCCCAGGAACTGGCTATCAGCTGCCTGAGAGCGCTTCTCAGACCCCTGCCCTTGAGCAACATCCTGGAGAGAAGAGGAAAAGGAAAGGACTGACTTCGAGGACGTGCCTCAGCACATTTTTGAGGGCAGATAACAGTTTATCAATGCCAGACATGAGATTTACAGTCGATATCTTGCTCTGGCCTCCACCCCGCACTCCAGAGCGGGCACCGAGGGAGCCAAGGGACACTCCGGGGTGCCCCTGGGAGGGCGTTCCAGCCCCGGGGGCCACCGGCCACCCCCGCTCAGCCCCGGCTTCTCACCTGGACAGCGGCTTTTGCCTGCTCCAAGGGGCTGGTGGGGCACAGCTTGTGCCCGAGCAGGCAGAGGGAGCAGATGCAGACGCCGTGGTTGCTGCAGAAGAACTCGAAGAGCCTGTTGTGCTGGGGGCACTTTCGCTGCTGCAGGTCGCGCACGGGCGGGCAGAGCTGGTGGTCGCGGAAGGCGGGGCTGTCGCGGTGCGGCCGCAGGTGCTCGGCGCAGAAGGACGCGGTGCAGGTCAGGCAGGTCTGCACGGCCGGAGCCTCCTGGCAGCTGTCACAGGACACGGGGGGCTCCTGCGCCCAGCACCCCCCCGCCTCCCCAGCCCCATTCTCCTCCTCCTCCTCTTCCTCGCCCTTGGCCCCAGCGCGGCCCTGGAGCTGCTCCACCACCCGGCACAGCACCGTGTTCTTCTGCAGCTGCGGGCGGCCCGCGAAGGTGGCCCGGCACTGCGGGCAGCTGAAGCCCCCCGAGAGGCCGGCCCAGGTGAGGTCCAGGCAGGAAGCGCAGAAGTTGTGCCCGCAGGGTATCGTCACGGGGCTGCTGAAGAGGCAGAGGCAGATGGAGCAGGTGAGCTCCTCTTCCAGCCCCGACAGGTTCGGCTCCGAGTCCAGCGCCGCCATCGCCCCGTCCGCAGCTGCCCCAAGAGCCAGAAACAAATCTGGGCTCGGAGAAACGAAACTGTGACCGAGGCTTTCCGGAAAACGACGTATCCCATCCCCGCCCCGACGGGAGGGGCGCGGCAGCCGGGGACGAACCCTGCGGTGCCCGCCCATGTCGGGGGCCGGGCAGCGCCGGGATGCTGGGGGCTCTGCCCTGCGAAACGGGACCCCCGGGGTGGGAACGGGACCCCCGGGACCCCCGAGACCCCCGGGGCAAGGGTGGGAACCCCAGGGCGGGGACGCGAGCCGGGGTGGGGGCAGCATCACGCGGAGGTGCCCGGAGGCCTCGGGGTCGGTTCGGAACCGCAGCGGGGCGTTTGGGCTGCGGTGCCCGCCTCGCCCCCGGCTCAAGGGAATTGGGGACAGCCCAGCGCTGTCCGGCCGCGATCGCCGCCCCCGCCGGCTGCACCCGGGGTTCAGGGATGGTGTGAACCCCAAATCACCCCGAGCACCGCCCCAGCTGCCCCGGGCTGTGGGGAACCTGGCTGCAGGAGATCCTACGGACTCATGGGACGGTTTGGGTTGGAAAGGATCTTAAAAATCATCTGTTTGCAACAGCAGATGTCAGTGCAATGTGTTTAAAGCACACAGGTTTCTGCATTGTGATTGAGGAAACCATCTCAACTGAAGATGCTTCCCCAAATTTGTTTTTCTCCATCTAACTGTTCAATAATCACTGTTTCTAACAGGAACATGGATGCTGAATAGCAACATAGGAAGAACTCCTGTCTTAACTAACTGGACCCCAAATTCTTCCAGTGGTCTCTTCCTCCTTCCTGGTCTCTTCCTCCTTCCTCTTCTGCCCTGTTTGCTGCTGTCCCAGGGACTTCCTTGTGGCCCTCTGTATTTCTCCACCCATGCTGGCGGCAGGGATGAAATGGAGCAGCCTGGCACAAAGTTTATGACCCCCCAGTAATTTAACAGAGCCTGATGGGCTGCAGCAGAATGAGCTGTGTGCTCTCAACTCTTGTCCAGTGGGCAAATACCTTGTGTGGAGAACTGCTGAAGTTCCCTTTAATGTAATTTAAAAGTATTAGCAGGCAATCTTGTTGGCGTTAGTCCTCGGGAACCTCCAAGAATGTTCAGAAGTTACACAGAATCAGAGAATCACAGAATGAACTGGGTTGGAAAAGACCTTTAAGATCATCTAGTCCAACCTATGACCTAACCTAACACCTCCTCATCAATTAAACCATGGCACTGGGTGCCACGTCCAGTCTTTTTTTAAACACCTCCAGAGATGGTGACTCCACCACCTCCCAGGGCAGACAACTGAAGTGCCCAATGACTCGTTCAGTGAAGAATTTCTTTCTAACATCTGACCTAAACTTGCCTTGGTGCAGCTTAGGATTGTGTCCTCTCATTCTGTCAGTTGTTGCCTGAGAAGAAACCAACCCCACCTGAGCACAGGCACCTTTCAGGGAGCTGTAGAGAGTGACAAGGTCACCCCTGAGTCTCCTTTTCTCCAGGCAGAACAACCCCAGCTCCCCCAGCCGTTCCTCACAGGGTTTGTGTTCCCAGCCCTTCCCCAGCCTCGTTGCCTCCTCTGGATGTGCTCAGGTGTCTCAGTGTCCTTCCTAAACCGAGGGACAGAGCTGGACACAGCACTCAAGGTGTGCCCTCACCAGTGCCAGGTACAGGGGAAGAATCACTGTCCTGCTCCTGCTGGCCACACCATTGCTGATCCAGGCCAGGGGCCATTGGCCTTGGCCACCAGGGCACACTGCTGGCTCATGTTCATGCTCATTGTATAAAGCACTCAAAAGAAGTGATGGTGGGTGGTCTGCTACAATTGAAATCAGCTCCTAGCCAGTTCTTTTGGACAATTAAATTAAATCTGGAGAGTAATTGTGAAGCTGTGTTGCACAGCTAAGGTGGATTTATACCTACATCAGTTATCCCTCCAGCCTTGTAGCACTCCTGCAGGAAAAGCTGCAGAGGGGTTGTGTGTCACAGGGCTCTGAGTCACTGCTCAGTAACAGGTAGAGTGCAGAAAGGACAATGGAGGCATTTGGAGCTGCAGGGCTGTGACAGGAGCGAAAGTTCAGGGGTCAGCTTTGTCATATGCTGGAGGGTGGAGGAGTTTCTAGGAGATGGGCATGGTGCCACAGGTTTACAGCATGGTTGGCATGTGCTGATCAGGACTTTGTAACTGCTGTCAGAGGAAGTGCAAACATCTGACAGGGGGTGGCTGACAGGGACTGCAAAGGATCATTCTTAGACAGCTGTGCTGTGCATGAGATGGGACCAAAGAACAGCTCTTAATGTTTGCCATTTTTATTTTTCCATAGGTGAACAAACACCCCGGGCTCATCTGGACTAAGCCTCTGTTATCTCTCAGAGACCCAGCATCTTCACTGTATTTTCTGTGGCACTCATGTAGTATCAGCTGATACAGACAAAGGTATGCAAATAAAAAGGGTAAATACAAACCCTCACAATTATAGCTTTTGCTTCTGGATCATAGCACAGGATGTTTAGAGCTTAGATGAGCAATTTAAGTTCCTCATTGTGAAAAAGGGCTTGAAATTCTCGTTTGGAGGAAGCCAAACCACTCCTGTTCTCTAAGAGACAATAAAGTTTTAACATAAAAAATTACTGCTACCATTTAAACAGCTACTGACGTTACTACTCTCTTTTGCTTGCAAATACTTGAGACCTTCCTGTGATTCTGAACTGAATCTAACCTTTTGCCCAGACACTGCACATTCAAAGTGTCCCGCAGAGCCCGAGCAGGGCTTTGGAAGCACAGTGGGACAAACTGCAGCTCACATTCCTCACCCCAGCAAAGGCAAAAGACAGGAAAGCCCCAGGGACAGAAAGGCAGCAGTGAGGGTTTGTTCAGCGTCTCACCACCCCCTTGTGGGATTCATTGCACATTGTCCCATCCCAGATTCCTCAGAGCTGGATGGATGGGCCAAGCGAGGGCTCTTGGCAGCTCCCTCGGGCTGCCTGCCCTTGGGCAGATCTGAATTGAGCAGTGAAGCAGTAGCTTCAAGCAAACTTGTAACAATGGGAAAATAAAACTCAATATCTTACCTTCAAAACACCCTCTCAGGGGTGTATTTGTTTTCCAGCATCACCTGTTTGGCACATCCAGAGCGACTCTGCATCCATTCAATTCATGCCCAAAATGCACAGTAGGCAATGGAACAAGAGGTGCTGTGAAACACATTTAGCTTTTACAGCTTCCTAAGAATTAACAAGTAACGATTTTCCTTAGAAAAACAATCTTTCCATTAATCCCCACAGTCTGAGCATGACTTGCTGCTGTCTGACATCTTCTTCTCATCCAGTTTGCAGTAACAGCCACACTAGCTGAACTTTTCTCTAAAAAAAACCAAATCCTAGCTTGAAGTAATGGCATTTGAAGAGAACCACAATGCACAAATTCATTTTACTGGTATAAAAATGATTCCTTTACAAACAAGACATTTTAACAGGGCTGATGCAAAAATGCACAGTACTTTAATGGATTCATGCACTAGGTCAGAGTACATGACAACTAAACCACAATGTACAAATTTTCCGGTGTTTGTTTGTATCTAGGGTTTGGTTTTTTCCATGTCTTCTCTGTAGGAGTCAACTGCCTAGACAGGGATTATCTGAAAATGTAAGACTTGCCAAGGCGCCAGAGGCATAAGGTGCCCCCTCAATGCCAATAATTATTAGAGGTGTGGGTCACCTGAATGACCAGGTGACCCATTCTGCTGCTGGAAAGGGAAGAAGAAAGGCAGCACTTAGATACAAGAGGGTTTGCTCTGAAACAAACTATAAAGGCTTTCACAGCCTACATAGATTAAAACACATAGATTAAAACAGTGGGACACAACTGTGCCAGGAGTTCACGTTAAATTCCACTGGTTCTAAGCAAAATTGACAGTTACCAGTGCTATTTATCTGCCTCAAAATTACAGAAGCTCAAAGTCCACAGGCTTTTCTGGACATGTTCAGATGAACTCTTTAAGTAACTGCAGTATGATGCCTGGCAGCAGCAGAAGGCATGTTCTGCACATCAACAACACTTACAATAAATTTTTAAATGAAAGTGGCCTCTGGCAATTATACAGCTCCAGCCTAACCCAGACATTTAAATAGTTACTCACAGTACAGGGTTGTGTTTTATATTTTAATCAAACCATTCAATTTCTGCAGCTTGCGACAGTAGGATATAAATATTAAAACCAAACAGATCTCTATAAGACTACCTACAATAAACAGAGTTTTTATGTATTACATAAAAACATTGCCTAAGGGAAAAAGTGTTTTCCCTTTGGCCTACTTCCTTTTAAGACAGTAACATCCACCAGTGCACCTGCCAGTCTCAGAACCAGAAGGCAGCATTTCACAGAACAAATCTGTACAATTCTTCACATCCTAGATGTTCAGTTTTCAACGTTGGATCCATTAACTGGAGGCTCCACAATCAGTCTTGGCTCTATCAGCGCATCCCAGCTTTCAGTTATCTGAAAACAAACCACAGGCAGCACTTAGCAGGTGCCAGCAACACCAGCAGATGCCATTTCCGTGTTGTTAATGCTTTTGCCTGGACTGAACAACGGCACCACTGAACCAAGACCACAGTTCCTCCTGTGAGTCACTGATCCTACTGATGATCCTCAACCTGCCTGATGTCCTAGGTAAGGAAAGGTGCAGGTAAGGACAACAGTGATGAAATGAAAGGCTGGTAAAAGAAAGGATCTCTATGAGACGTGATGTTGTTCATTAGCCAAAACAAGAAGTTTGATGAGTGGCTGTGACCCCGGTTAATTGAGTAACATGCAAGGAAGGATTATTATGATGTAAACATGCACATTCTTGCCAGAAAGGAACAATTATTTTTGCTTCCACTGATTCAAATCAGATGCATGATTACAAAGGGAATGTCCCTGAGGTGAAGAGGGGCAGGAAGCAGGGCAGGTGCCAGCTCTGCAGAGCAGCCCCACGTTACCTTGGTGTCCTGAGGCACCGCGTACTCGATCAGCTCCTCTCCATCTGCAGACTGGTACACCAGGTCGAACTTCCCTGGCTCCTTGGCAACTGAAAAACCAAACAAACAGCTCACCCAGCTACAAACCAAAGAAACCTTAAATGTTTACCACAAACACCGATCAAAAACAGTTTGGCTTTGGTGTTTGTTTTGTTGTTTTGGCGGGTTTTTTTGAGCTCGGTGTCTGGGTTCATAATTTTAACACCAAATCTTGAGGTAAACTGAATACTACACACAAAACTAAGGTAATTATCTGACTACTCACATGAGAAAGTCAGCAATATGTTGCTGAAACTTGAGAAAAATGCTCATATTACAATTCCTTAATTCTGGCTTAAATGCCAGCTGGAGGATACACAGTTTGAGCAACATTCAGCATTTCAAGGTCTCAGGAACTGCACCTTGTCATTGTAGGGACTCACTTGCACACCCACTGAAGACATACCATTATGACCTCACACTTTCTCTGTAGTTCCATGAAATAATTTCCTTCAGAAAATGAAACCACAGTAGAAGTGAATTACTGACCACTCAAACTGACTGAAAAAATTGTTTTGTAAATACCCATGAACACCATTCAGTTCAACTGGCAAGGGTTAGAACTTCTCAATTGAAATAGACTTTTTGGGGAGGGAATAAGGAGGGGAGGAGTGTGTTGAAAATGAACTTAAGGCAATTGGGAATACTCCTCAAAGATTAAGTGTTCCTTGGACTTCTGGTTTTCCAGGTCGCAGCACATGACAACAAACCCTTGGTGTTCCCAGGTACGTACATTGTCCTGCTGATGTTGAAAGGATCTCAAGTTCAATCTGCTTTTTTTCGGCATTCCAACTGATTATTTTTGCCTCCTTCACAAAGCAACAAGAAAAGAATCAGGTAAGACACTTCAGCACTGGATAACTAGTCCATATTTGCAATCAGAGTGCTACTTGATGGCTGCCAGAGGAAATAAGTATATTTGGCTATCAAATTTTCCAGCCTCCATGTATAAAATCTGCAAAGAATTAATACTCAGCAATCTGTAGCTATTGGCATCAATAAACCAAAGTTATTCATTGTCACCAACACTGCAGTTTAAATCAGTACTTACCCAGAAACCAAGTTATTTGAAGTAGCTACAAAATTTTACTTGCACCAGTTTTAAGAACTTGCCCTGACTTCAAACAATAGACTCAAATACAGCTACATTTTTCTATGTGAAGGCTCGGATTTTTTGTTTTTTTTTCATCTCTAAAATATTAATGATTATTAATAATTCTTATAGTTGGTGGTTTGTTTTGGGTTGGTTTGTTTGTTTTTTTAAGTTACACCTATACCTTTCAAATTTTCAATTAGTTTTGGCTTCTAGAGTTTTGATTTTTACTGCTGCACCAGGAATAGCCTGTGGAGTCAGCTGGATGCAAGGAAAAACACTGCACACCATCAAAATATTTAAGCCATACCTCACCTGTCATAGTACTGTGAGTGAAAGAAGGGAAGAAAGAAAACCAGTACCTTATAGTCTGAAACTTCAGGACTGTAATTTTCAGTTAGTTCCAGGCGCTGTTGAAAGAAATACAAGTAACAAATTGTAACTTTTTCCAATCTTTGATGATTCCACCTACATCCAGACAGTTTCTTCAGCAAGAGAAAAGTGGTAGAGCCAAGTCTCCTACTCCTGGAACCCAATGCCAATCATGGTCCCAGGTAGACTTCCAGGACTCGCTGCTCCAAAAGATTTATGTTCAGATCAGGCTGTGAGATCAGGGAGATGGATCCCAGTCTCCTCAACTTCAGGGATTTAATTTTCATTTACTTTTTTATTTTGCAGTGCAGTGTAATTATTTGTATGTTAAGATTTGTAGTAACATTTCTATGGAAAATTACATTGAAATGGCAGCAGAGACAGCATTTCTTGTGTTATACAAACACAGAAAGTCTAAAGACATGCACTTAACTTCAGTATATGCTCCAAACATTTACAAAAATCAAAGCTAGGATTTACTACAAGTGAATTTTTTAGAGAAACTATTAGGTTAAAAACTTAGGAATGGCTCAAATGAAGCAATTTTAACCTACTAACATAGAGTATTTCCAGAGTTCTTTACCTTAAAGGCAATTCTTTCTCCCACTTGGGGTGGAGCAGCTAGAAGAGGTAATGAACTATAGTCTCTCTTGGGAATCTCCACGGGATTCTGTGGAACAAAGAGCAACCCACTGATTTAATTACTGTATCAATGAAAACAGAGGACAATGTTCACGCTGTATGGATTGCAACAAGCTCTGAGAACAGTAAGGTACATGCTCCGTTTTTAGATAAATAAGACAATCACTTTATTGTTGTTTCACAAACACGTCCTCAGGCTGACAAATGGAATGACAGAAAATAGAAGATCAACCTTTAACCCAGTAATCGATTTCTGCTGTTATGAATTACTGTCATCCTATAGGTTCTTTGCACAGTTCAAGCTGCCAGAGAAAGGTGACCTCTGCCTGTGTCAGTCACTCACCTGGACTAGGATAGAAGTGTTTGTCGCAGCTTCATTTAACTGCCTCTGTTTCTGGCCTTCACTGCTGTAGTTATAGAAGAAGCCAGGGTTTGCTCCTCTCCCATGGCCCCTCATCATCCCACGAAACCCATGGCCCCTAGGTCCTCTCCAGAAGTTATCCTCTCTCGTTCCACGCCCCCTTCCACGGCCTGGGCTGGCAAACGATCCTTGGGCACTGGCTGGCAATTGTTTAGTGCAGTTCCTTACTATGGAATTACCCAGTCCAGCACCTGCTGCAGATTTTTTAATGACAAGTGTGTCTGAATCTGAACTATCCGAGTCTGAAGAGGAGCTCTTTGCTTTGGGAGCCTTGGTGCTGGCTTTTACAGCCACCACATGGTTTGGCACCGATTTTTCCTTTGCAGAGCTGTCTTGTGCTGGTGTCACCTTCTCATCCTCTGTACTCGAGTCAGAATCTGAACTAGAAGACTGGGGTTTTTTAGCATTTTTAGTAATTGCAGTCTTAGTCTTTACAGTATTAGACTTTACAGCCAGTTTGTTAGTTTTCACATCAGAATCTGAAGCAGCTTGGGATTTGTCTTTGGGAAGTGTCACCACTACAGTCTTATGGGAAGATTTATTTTCCTTTACATTTAATTCACTGCTGTCACTGTCAGACGATGTGCTGGATGAATCTGAAGCTCCCACCCTCTTTTTCCTGGACTGTGTTGTATTCTCTTTGGTGCTATTCTTACCAGAATTTAGAGAAAAGCTCTCATTTGCCCGTTCTAAAGCGATCTTTGCTGCAGCAACCTTTGTCTGCTTTTCATCCTTCTCTTTTGTTGCCAACTGCTTCTCCCTCTCTGTTTTTTTCATCTTTTTAGAATGGGAAGTAGAGCTCTCTTCCTTACCTTCTGCGAGACCATTTCTTCCCCTAACTTCTTCTTTCCTTTTTCTTTTTGTGTACCTTTTCTGAGAGTCCCAAGTATCTACAGAGGTCTCTTCCCTACAAGAGGAATACTCAAGGTTATGCTTCTCCTTTTTCTTTTTCCTTTTATGCTTGCCTTCATTCCTAGAGAATTCTTCCTCGTCCTGCTTGTGCCTGTGCCTTTTTTTGTCTTCTTTTGTTGTGTCATTATCGTCTTCATCTATCTCTTCCAATTTTACTCTGTTAAAAGACAAACAAACAAAATCCACCACTCAGCATAATGAACACTTTTCCCTACATGTGAGCAGCTCAGGTAAGTTCTCCTAAAGTGAAGATGCTCCAGCTCTTCTCTGGACAGTCCACAACCCTCCCTTGCAGGCACAGTCTCCCGTTTCATTTTCGGGAACATTTCCCACCCTTGGCTCCCTCCATCCCTTTGGGACATGCTGGGGTGTCTCAGGTGCTGGCAGTGAGTGCCCGTGGGCACCCGGCTCCCACTGCGCTGCCCAGGGAAGGAACAGCTCAAGTCCCCCAGGGAAGTCCCATCCCTGTCCCACCAAGCCCACCTGGGGATTCACAGAACCCCAGAACGGGTCAGGCTGGAAGGGACAACAGTGGGGTGATCTGGTGCCACCTCCCTGCCTAAGCAGGGTCATCCCAGAGCACAGGGTTGTGTCCAGAGGGCTCTGGAATATCCCCACGGAGGGAAGCTCCACATCCTCTCCGGACAAGCTGTCCCAGCGTGGATCCCTGCACGGGGCAGAAACTCTTCCTGGGCATCAGTTCCTGCCCGCTGCCTCGTGTCCCACGGCTCGGCACCACCGGGCAGAACCCGGTCCGGCCTCTCGGCACCGCCTTTAGACACTGATAGACATTGATGAGACGTGTGTGGGACTGACCCCGACCCCGCTGTCCCGGTTCCAGTCCCGATCTGGACAGCAGGACCGCTTTCCCGGTCCCGCTGTCCTGATCCCGCTCTCTCTGTCCGGTCCCGGTCCCGCTGTCCTGGCCCCGCTGTCCCTATCCCGGTCCCGCTGTCCCTGTCCCGGTCCGGTCCGGTCCGTACCGCAGCGAGTCGTTGTCCCGCACGAGGCGCGCGCTCTCGGCGGGCGGCAGCAGCGCCCCCTCGAGGAAGAGGCTGAGGCGGGCGCGGCGGCTGAAGCCGAAGCGGTGGCGGATGAGGCTGAGCAGGTCGGTGATGAGCCGCGCCTGGCCCGGTTCCAGCAGCAGCCAGCACAGCGCGCAGCCCGGGCTGGCCGGCGGAGGGTGGTCGAACACCAGCCGCAGCCGCAGCGGGCCGCCGCTGGCCGCCATCATGGAGATGGAGGAGGAGGAGGAGGAAGAGGCGGAGGAGGCGGGCGCGGGGGGCGGCGCCTCAGGGCAGGGCGGGCCCGGGCAGGTCCCGTGACGGCGGGAGCTGAGGGAGCGATGGGGCCGCTCCGAGCTGGGACCGCGCTGTCCGTGCTGCTGCTGGCGGCAGGTACGGGACGGGAGGGGACGGGAACGGGAACGGGGCTCTCCGGGCACGGCGCTCCGTGTCCTGCAGCCGCTGCCGGGCCGGGCCCGGGCTGAGCCGCGGGAAATTCCGCTCGCCCGGGTGGCGGTCGGGAGGGACGGAGAGGGCGGCCGGAGTCCCGGCGGGAGCAGCAAAGCCTGCCCACTCTGGTTTGGGAAAGACTCATTGCTCCTACTCCAGTGCGCTGTTGCCTTCTGCCCTGATCCCTGAGATTAAGGGAGGGAGTGTCAAAGGTCTGTCTCGTGTGCGAGATCTACAGTAGACTGACCGCGTAAGGTGACCAGGCGCTACTGACTTGAGTTTAAATTATATTTTGGATTCCTTTAGTAGTGACGCCCTGTCTTTCTGCATCTGCTCTGTGAAGGGTTGCAGTCTTCACAGACTCCCAGCCCAAAGTACTGGGATGAGCTCAGTGGGTCGGATCATGGAGCCAATAACGCCAAGGCTGAGGGTTCCATCCTGTACGGGCCGTTCTTTAAGCGATTTGACTCTTTTTAGGTCCCTTTCAACTCAGAATACTCTGTGATCCTTGTCAAAATTGCAGCTGGTTATGGGAGTTATTCCATTGGGGTTAGGGGGGTTGTGCCTTCAGCCCAGGCCTTGAAAACACCTCAAGAACAAATTTTTCAAGTGTTTGGGCTGTTATTCCAGCAGCAGCTCTATGGCCAGGCTCTGATAAGGAAGCACTTAATTACTCACTTCATTCATTGATGATAACTCAGCTGTGGGTGGGGGTGTAAGTATAGGCAGGTTTCTTACAGTAATTTTTTTTAATAGTAGTAGCACTTCTAATTATCACTCTCAAGATTGAAATGTAATGTTTTGGGACAATTCTGGTGGAAAGCACAAAGCTGAGCCTTTTTACCTAGCTGATTGTTATTTTTATTTCCCCTCAAGGTGTAGTTCTGAGGCAGCCCCAAGAGCCAAAAGAGGTGTGGGGATATGTGGAAGTTCGGAGCAAGGCCCACATGTTCTGGTGGCTCTACTATGCAAATAACCCAACCCGAGACTTCACAGAGTTACCTCTCGTCTTGTGGCTTCAGGTAAGGTTTGGTGAGAGACACCTAAGCAATAATTCTTTCCATCTGTGCCTGGTTCAGTCTGAAATCTGATATTGTGCAGTTCTAAAGAAACAGGATTCAAAACTGCTTGGTTCTAAATGCCTTGCCTTGTGAATGAGGTGTTGGAGTTGGGAAAAACAATGATGATTTCATTCTGCAGTTGTGGAGTGTCCTCAACTGCTCATCTTCCATCAAGTTTGATTGCAATAACAGAGGTTGTTCTTATCTTTGATACAACAGTAGTGATTTTTGTGCATTGTAGTTTCACAGCTCTTTTCCTGGAGAGTTTTAAGTCTAAACAATGTTCAGAGAGAGAGAGAGAGTAGATAAAATAATCAGAGATTTAAGATGATTTCTAGATGGAAACAATCCCAGTTTGATAAAAGTGGTGGTTATTTCATCAAAGTGAAACCTCCAAGCTGTACATGCTGATTAAGCTAATGACTTGCAAAGCCCCAGTAAGCAGACAGTTAACTTTTGCACTCCATATTCAGGCAATAAGGTTTTGAAACTGTGCTGACATAGCAAGTAGCTCACCAGAAGCTCTCACAAGTGTGTGACTGCTTTTCGGTTGAGTTCTTGCTTTCAGAAGTGGCATGTGTGCCCATAACCTAAGACCATGAGGAACAGAGCTCGTTCTGCAAATTAATGTGTAGTGTAAAAGCCATTTTAAAAAATTTACAATCTGTCCTTCTACTTACTGGCTGGCTTGTATTTTTCTTCCATCTGTTATATCTATGCCGTGCTGCCTTTTAATGTCTTTGTCATTTGGTATTTCCCTGCAGGGAGGTCCAGGAGCTTCAGGCTGTGGATATGGGAACTTTGAAGAGATTGGTCCATTAGACAAAGAAATGAAACCAAGAAATACAACCTGGGTACAGTAGAGAGTTCAGCTTCTAATTACAAATGTTTGCCTCTGTAAGCAGATGATCACTGTGCAAAAAACCACAGAACAGTTTTTCATCTAAAGTTCAGCAGAACTATAATATTTCAAGTTAAAATATTGTGGTTAATAAATTAGCTTGTAGGAATACCCTTGCTTAGAACTGAGGGGTAGACATATTAATTTGATTTGATGAAGTATGTCTGGTCTTCCATGAAATTGTGAAATGCAGATGTCTGGGAAACAGAGAGCAGGGAAATTGTAGAAAGTGTTATTTCAGATCCCAGCTTCATTGTGTGCAGTCAGAGCACTTTTTCTGTGTGACTAGCAGTGTAAAACCTATGGCTTGTAATTACAGGTCCAGTATGGCCTTCAAGGGAAAACAAATTACAGCTGCCTGTGAAGGTGGAAGTTTAATTAGTGCAGTATATTTGTGCTCTGAGCTACCAATAGTCTGAAGTACTCCAGAGTTCCCTAGGTGGCCTGCCTCTGGATCACTGGGAGTTTTGGGGTGTATTTCTGGTTACAGACTGGGCAAATTGAAGGACTTCATGTTGCACCTAATTTTTCTGCAAGTTTTTTGAGGTCCAGGGATTTGCTGACTCAGTTAATAATTTGTACCATCAAAACTAAGTTTTTTTGCTGGTGCTGAACTGAGGTTTTATACAAACCTTCTTCCTGCTTTTACAGTTGCAGGCAGCCAGTATCCTGTTTGTGGATAATCCTGTGGGCACTGGATTCAGTTATGTGGATGATTGTAGCTTGTTTGCCCAAAACCTTACCACTGTAGTTTCTGATATGATGGTTTTTCTTGGAGAATTCTTTAAGTGTAGACCAGAATTCCAGGTAAGTGAATTAAATTCTTATTTATTGTTGTGTTTTTCTCTGTTTTTAAATAGAATTCAAAAAGAATTAGGGAACAGACTTCTAGATGAGCAGTTTTTTTGCTGCTGGGTAGTGTTTAGTGCAGATATAACCACTGTCTTTTATTTTCCACATTTCAGAAATTGTATCTTGATTTTGGGGTTAGTTAGATAAGCATTGGGGTGCATTGTTGTCTGTTGAGTGATCTGAGCAGCATATACAGGATCACAGCTGCTTATAGTTCCAAAATAGTTCAGAACAAACCCCAGAAAATCACCATGATGTTATGGAAACCTAATGTGCAGCTTAAAATAAGAAAAACATTAAATGTTTGATGGTGAGAGGTGAACAGCTGGTGCCTGGGTCCTGTGGGATGTGGGAGATGGTTGGAGGTTTCTTCTGCCCTCTGCTTAACAAGTTCCTCATGTGGCTTTTCTCTCCCCAGACCATCCCATTCTACATATTTTCTGAATCTTATGGAGGTAAAATGGCTGCTGGAGTTGCTTTAGAGCTGCACAAGGTAAGTACTTGGAGGATACAGTTCACTTTTCATTTAAAACATGGGTTTCTACAAGTACTTTTATTTTCTGGAATACACTGTCCCTATTGCCTAATTCACAATGCTACTTAATTTTTTCACTTAAAGAAAACTGATTCTAGAAGTCATGAATAGCTAAGTAAAATTTGATCCTTGGTTTGATTTTTTATTTTGTTTTGTTTTTCCTCTTATTCACAAAGGCTGTTCAAAAAGGGACTATAAAATGCAATTTTATGGGGACTGCTCTTGGAGACTCATGGATTTCTCCTTTGGGTACGTTTAAACTCCTCAGACTGTGGATGATTTGCTCTTGTTATTTGTTTGTTGGGTGTTGTAATCATTCCATGAGTGCCTAAAGTCAAAAATGTCATCCCTGCCTTAAGTGAATTAACCTCTGGTAACCAGTCTGGTAAATGAAAAATAAATACTCAGCCTTGCAAGCTATGACTGAAGAATCTCCCTTTAGAATGCATCTAGATTAGGAAAAGTCAGAGAGAAAGGTCAGTGAGGAGCACACTTGTATCAGAAATGGAGGGATGGTGAAATGTCCCTACACATCTCTACAGCCTCTGGGGTGTTTTGTAAGAGTCTTGTGCTTAAATGTGGCCACCAAATGATTCACAAGGCTGCAGGTGAGATTTATGTCTGGTGGAGGACAAAAAGCAAATTAAAGGGCTCTTGGTCCATCAGTGGGATTGGCAAGGGCAGGCTTCACAGATTCCCTGCAGCACAGGACAATACCAAACAAACTCTTACCTGTCTGCCACCAGCTGATCCTTGAGAATTTACAAAGTTGTTATAAAGCAGATTTATCTTATAACTCAAGTTTTCCCTTGTGACTTTTCAAACAGATCAGTTTAGATAATTCTCATGCTCTTGTTAGACCTCTGGCCATGTTCTGGCAGTGTGCTCTACAGTGCTAGAGGGAGAACATTTTGGTAAAAACATGTTGGTTGCTTTAAATAAATTTCACTGGTTGACTCATAGGGGGTTAATGATATTGCAGGATTTGTAAAGAACCTGCTCTGTGGCACATAACCTTAGGGTTAAACAGAGCTGACTGTACATTTTTACCGATTAATTCATCTCCATATATATTTTTCTCATAAATATTGTTGCCCCAGTAAAGGAAAAGTAAGTTAAATCTTATGTCAATGACTGATTGTCAGTTTTGTTTGAAATCTGTTCTGTTTGTTTAGACTCTGTGCTGTCCTGGGGGCCCTACCTTTACAGCACTGTAAGTACCTTCTTAAACTCATGGTCCTTACCTGCTCCCTTGTGCTGCCATACAGTACAAATGGGTGATGGATTTTAAGATTACCTCTTGGCCTGAATAAAACCTTGAAAGCATGGAGGCCGTTAGCAATAGATGGATGTGGAATTGTAATTGAAGCTGTCCTTCTTTGTGTTTGCCTTCCAGTCTCTCCTTGATGATAATGGTCTAGCAGAGGTTACTGCTGTTGCCAAAGAAATAATGGATGCAATAAATAAAAATCAGTATGGACTGGCCACTGAGCTCTGGAGCAAGGCTGAAGGTGTCATTGAAGAGGTGAGATCTTTGACTAACATTAAGAACTAACTGCTGCCTGGGAAGGCATGTGATTTCAAGTTCTTTCTATGAGTGCTGAGCTGGCATGAATTCTCCAACCCTCTGCCCAGTCATTTTTGCCAGGATTTGTTTTATCCCAGTGCTGATATAAAGGAGTGTTTACTATGCCCTGCTAGGTGAGTGGCAGAGAAAATGGGCAGGACAGCCTTTGTGGTCTTCCAGTATTACACTGTTTCAGCATACAACTAGTCCTCTTGATTTCCACAGTTTCAAATTAAACAAACTCTATCTCCTGGAAAGCTTTGAATATTGAAAACAGCATCCACCAAGACACAAATTTGAAGTTAAGCACACATCTCTATTTGAAGAACTACAATAGGTCCACAGGATGGAAAGGAACCTCGAGTTATGGTCTCTTACTGTGGGTCACTGCATCTCGTTCCTTAGAAAGTTCCAGCATAAAAGATTGGTAAAGTTTTGCTTTTGTTTCTCCTGTTACAAGGTTGCTCCAAAATCTCATTCTTTAGTACATCTAAAGCTCTGCCTTCCTTGGACAGAAAGGCTAATCTGGAGCCACTTCCTTTTTTTGCTCCTTTTTTTACTCCTTTTTTTTTTTTTTTTTTGGAGTTTTTTGGTTTGGGTGGTTTTGTTTTGTTTGTTTTCTGTGTTTCATAAATGACAGTGCCTTGCACATAGTTGGTTTCACTTCTTGGTTTTTGGAAGGAACTTTGGTTTCTGTTTTACTTTGCAAATCTATTTGGCTTTCCCTCTCAGTGGTGATGGTGCTGGCAGATGAAGGCACTGCAGTTCTTCTGGGGTTACTGTTGTGAGCTGATTTCTGACCTAAGCATCAGAACTTTAAAAACTCAAAAATCAAGAAGGGCTTCAAGAATCTGGAGTAACTTCTCTAATGGCAACCCTGCTCACATTTGTCCTTGGATGCAGGCAGCCTCTGTCAGCTGCATCGGAGCTGCCAGTCTGCAATGCTTGGGCACATCTAGCCGTCAGCAGCTCCAGGAGAGAGGTGGCTCATACTCATCACACGTTTCTGAGGAAGCATTTTAGGTTTTGGAGGATTGTAGGTTAGAAGGATGTTGAGCAAGAGCAGCAGACCAGACTTGGCAGTGGGGCTGTCTGAAAGCATCACCTGGCACTGCAGCTCTCTGTCATGAGTAATGCAGGGTGAGACTTCCTGTAGCTTCACATCTGCTTCAGAGGAGTAAATAACATCTCTGGCACAACTCATGTGTGAACAATACAGGCTCGAGGAATCTCTTTCCCCCTTCTCAAAGCAAACGTAAAATTGAAGTTTTTCCACAAGTATCTTACTGGTATGCAGGTAAAGTGACAGGTCACAGGGTCCTTTATTTAGAATTTACTTATCTTTTTTTTTTCTTATTCTTTTCAGGAAAGACTGTTCTTCATATCTGAGAAATGTTTTTATTAGTGTTACTGAAATTATCTTGTGTTTTCAGAACACAGACAATGTGAACTTTTATAACATCTTGACTAAAGAGGTTCCAGAAGTGAAATCAGATGAACAAGAAAATTTCCATCTCAGTAAGTTATATTTAAATATTTGAACTTTAAATATTAAAAAAAGTATTTAAATACTTGGACTTCCTAGGCCCTGTGTTTCCATTCACATACTCTGACAGTGGAAAGAGCCTCAATGTAGCACATCCTTGAAATGGATGCTGGTATTCTTCTAAGCAGAACTTGTTTGCTGTTGCACAGAGGCAGATAGGAATGTGGAGCAACCCTATAGATGACACCTCCACCTATACATCCTGCATAAATTACAGCAAGGAAGCAGTCAGTATAATTGCAACATCCTTTTATGACCTTTTAAGTTACTTCCTCTTACTGTCTTTCATTTCTGTCTTTAAGACAGGACACAAAAATGTCTCATCAGTATAAACAGTCTGATTAAATTCTTGCTCCATGATTTTTGTGCATCAATGTGAAAAACACACATGTAGTTTCTTTCAAGTTCGTTTTCTGTTGGCTTCATAAGGGAAGGTGAAATTAACTCCTGAAAGTAAAACATCACAGCTCAAAAATAACCAGTCTGTTGAGAAGACCCAAGTGGTTAAAGCAGAAAAAGTGCCTAGTGTTAGCCAAAAGTATGAATGGATGTATCATCCTGCCCTAAATAAGGGTTGACTTCAGTGGTTTCTAGTAAAAGTAAGCAAAGTCTCTCTGTGGCATTGCATTTTCATTAGGAAAGGGTTTGTTGGCCATGATTGACACTGAAGATTGTTACCTGTGCAGGATGGTGTTTTAAATGTGCCACTGATCAGAGCATGTTCTCTGTTTTTTCAGTGCGGCTTTACCAGCGCTATGTCAGAAAAATGCATCAGAACAGCCTCGATGAGCTGATGAATGGCCCCATCAGAAAGAAGCTGATGATCATTCCTGACTGTGTGAAGTGGGGAGGTACTTTCCTGTCTGTTAGTGTGTACCTGATGAGTCCATTACCACTGTTTGCAAGATTGCATCCTGTAGGAAAATACTCTGGCAACTGGTCACAGTCAATTGTCATTATCCATGGGGCTAAGGAGGGGATTTGTTCTCAGAAATGTCGTGGGGCAGGCCTGTGGGAGCAGGTGTGGTTCTGGTTCTGATTCTGCTGCTTGTATCTATCTTTAGCCAAATAACTAAAAATACAGGGGGAGGAAGATCCTCTGTATTTCAGGAACTAGTTTCTGTCTCTCATGCAGTCTTGCTGAAATTCCTGTCAGCTTTTCTCTGCCAGAAGTCTGGTGTCATGTAATGATGCATCTTATTGAGGAGGGGGTGTAAAACAGGCTTAAAGGGCTGATGGGATGTCAGTGTGTGTAAACAGGAGCCAGAAACTACAGCACTGTCTATGAGCTCCAGTGGGAGCACAGCTGCTGCCTGGTCCTCCTATTCCTCAAACTGATAAATCACTGCCACTTTGGGCTAGGACTGTGTTTTGTGCAGCTGTGAACTCCATTTTAGAGCCTGTAGCCCATGCTTCTGTCCCAGGGATGACATCCTTCATCCTTCATCACTAAACATTTGTCTTTCTCATTCCAACCAGGTCAGTCCAGACAGGTCTTTGAGAACATGGCTGAGGACTTCATGAAACCTGTCATCGATATTGTTGATCAACTTTTGGCAGCCAATGTCAATGTTACAGTCTATAATGGGCAGCTGGACCTCATTGTTGACACCATGGGTGAGGAACTCCTTGACTGGGGGTGTGAATAGAACATGTGATGAGTAGAATGTAGAGCTGTCAGTATATTGGTACCCAAATTTCTCCAATCTCCTGTGCAAACCTCTTATCTAACTAGCAGTGCTTAAATACTACAGTCATAAATGAGCAGCACTTAGGATGTTTTGCTTGTGTCCCTCTGAGAGAGGCAAATCCTTTACCTCCATTATACTGTTGAGAAATGGATCTGCAACATCAGTAATTGCTTGTTTCAGGTAAGCTAATAATTCACTTAATCCTCCTGGATAGGCACATAGATGTGTATGTGTGTATGCTCATTCACAGGCAAAGAATGCTGGTAATTAATGAGGGAGGCTGCAGTGGAAGAGTGATCACACCTGCTCTCAATGTAGCCTCCTGCACATCTTGGGCTTTCTTTGCTGCTTGCATGGTGCTGGTTTGGTCCAGAAGCAGTTTGGGAACCAGGTCGAGTGCTGCTGAAATGCCTCATAAGGCTGCTGTGCTCCCTTCCACTGGTGTTTCCTCACTGAGTTAAAGAATCTGCAGTCAACAGACTCCACAAACACCTTCCTATTGTGTGAAAGGCTTTATTCCTTGTATGTTTCTGTCCACTTAGATATTCAGATGCCCTTCGTGAACAACACAGCAATCAATAAATCCAGGAAACACAGTATTTAGGATGTCAAAACAGATTAGCAGTTAGTGATGCTCCAGTTTATCACATTTTGAGCTGTCTAAAACTGAGCTGTAGTTAACATGTAAATTCTTCCAGCAGTTCACAGGTAGGCTAAAGCTTTGTCCCCCTTGGAAACCTGGAATTGATCTTGTTGCTGTCTTGACCTCCACCTTCTCTAGCAGCATCTGGAAACAGAAAGCCTTTCCAGCCTCCCCTCAATAAGTGTCTAACAGAGAAATCCAGGAGGAGGACTTGGTATGGATGATCCTTCTCCATGGCAGGACATTCAAGGTGTTTGAGGTGTAAAGTGAAATACGTTGAAGTTTCTAGGGCTGCAGAGCCTCCAAGAAGCACATGTTCAACTTTTACAATCCTAAATCCATTTCATACCTGCCTTCACTAAACAGTGAAGTGAACTCCTTTGGTTTGTTTCAGTTTGTCCTGAATATTCCTAGGCATAACAAAACTGTTTTAGGATCTGGGCACACAGACTCTGTGTTAACTCTGCTGTACTGGTATCCAGTACAGGGGACATCCAGCTGAACTGGACTCCCAAGCTGCTGTGGAACCAAGTATTGATAATTTCCAAGTATTGGTAATCAGTGCTGTCTCTTGTCTCCAACAGGCCAGGAGGCATGGATCCGGAAACTGAAGTGGCCTGATTTGGAGCAGTTCAGCCAGAAAAGGTGGAAGGCACTGTATGTGTCTCCAGAATCCACTGAGACAGCTGCTTTCCACAAGGCTTATGAGAACTTTGCTTTCTTCTGGATTCTCAAGGCTGGGCACATGGTAAATAGCAATGTCCTTGGGGTGGAATCAGCCAGAAGACTGGAGATGTGTGTGTAGCTGATATCTGCTTCTTTATAGCAGCTGCTTATCCTGTGCTTTTCTCTGTGCTAGGTACCAGCTGACCAAGGAGAGATGGCACTCAAAATGCTCAGGATGGTGACCCAGCAGCAGGACTAGGGGACGGAAGGTCAGCTGGTCTGGCTTCCTGCCCAGCACCAGGGTTCTAAAAGAGTGTCAGTCTGGGATCCTAAGCCAAAGAAGGCACAGTGGCTATTTGGACACAGAGCCTCCCTCATCTTGCTGATACTATGCTCAAGTGCTTGTGGAAAGACATTTTTTTCCTTGAATGTGTTATTGCTTTTGAATTTTTAAGCTGTGATTTGCTGCCTTAACACTCTTCATAAATGACTCTTCCAGAGGGAAGTCCCCTGTCATAAAGAACAAGCCCCGAACCTTTACCTTGGAAGGATTTTGTGCTCTTGCCCTTCCCTGAATGCTTCTTTTTCTGTTTGCACACCAAGAGTAAAACCGATTTGACTTGATTTGCTTTGTGTTCGTTCCTCTGGAGAGGTGACCTACTTCATGAGGTTGTGGAATGTTCCTTCCTTTGTCCTTCCCTTGGCTTCTGCCTGAGTCACCTGGCTGGATTACAAGCTGAAGACATGGAAATGCCAGGACAGAGGACCTGCCCTAGAGGAATTACAGTCCATCTCATTTTGCTGAGGTGCCTGAATTAGGACTCGGGATTCTTCAGACTTCCTGTGCTATGGAGAGAGAAAAACATCCCACAGAGGAGGATTTGACCCTTTTCATCTGACCATTTGTTTCTTGTTTCCATTCTTCTTAATGCCTGCTACTCAAATGTTGCCTTTATCCTCGACTCCTAAAGCACATCCAGCAGGAATTCCTGCTTTTCTATGTACTGAAGCAGAAGGCCTGTTAATCCCTTCCTGTACCAAAGAGTCCCGACAGACAGAAGTCTCTTAAAACCTTCTAGGTTTAGCCAGAAGGAAAGGAGCGTTATGTGAGCAATAACGGCATAATTCTGAGAGATGATAGGAATGTTTAAAAGAAGTATATACAAAATCTTGATCCATGTCTTTTAGAGATTGTTTTAAAGTCTTGCAGAGATCTATTACTTTGAAACTTTTTTTTAAATAATGTATAGTCAAGAAGAGACTTGGTCAGACATCATTTGACTTTTGCTATGGAGCATGAAGTAGTTGTTTTTTATTGGTATCTGATAGGAGGCACAACATCTCCTTCCAGCTGTCAGAATCCTAAACAAATAGCAACCTCTCAATTACTCCAGCCACTGAAACTGTCAGGAAATCCCTGATAGCATTGTCTTAGCCAGAGCTGAGGCACAATGCTGCATGAGCACACATGCAATCTCACCCAGCAGCTGCACTATTGGCACCTAATAATTGCTTTCCTTTTTCATGTTCCCTTCTTGTCTTCTTGAGAACTTTAGCAATGCAAATCCAGATTTCATTTTTTAAACATATTTTTCAATAAATAGGTCTAATTCTTCTCTCTTTAGCATCACATTGATTTTACTGCTTGAAAATGACATCTTTTCTGTTTTGGCTTTTAGATGAACAAGAGGAGGTTGCTACCAGTGTGTAAATTTGCATATGTGCATTCTTGGAATATTTTTAAATAATTTGCCTAGCGAATCAGCATGTTTTTGCCTGGATAATGTCCTGGTTTGGGCTGGGATAGAGCCAATTTTCTTTCCAGTAGATAATATGGGCTATGTTTTGGATTTGTGCTGGAGATGTTGATAACACAGGGTTTGAGCAGTTCTGACAAGGCCTTTTCTGCCCTCATCACGTCCCACCGGTAAGGGGCCTTTTGGGAGCACAAGGAGTTGGAGGGGACACAGCCAGGACAGCTGACCCTAACTGACCCAAGGGATGTCCCAGGCCAGGGGGGTCATGCTCAGCTCGGGGAGAAGGAGGAAGGGGAGACGTTGGGGGTGATGCTGTTTGTCTTCCCAAGTAACTACTGCATGTGATGGAGCCTTGCTTCCTTGGAGACAGCTGCACACCTGCCCATGGGAAGTGGTGAATGAAATTCCTTGTTTTGATTTGCCTGTTGCCTATTAAACTCTATTTCATCACATGAGTTTTCTTACTTTACCCTTCAGTCTCTCCCCATCTGTCTTGGGGGGGAAAGTAAATGGGCAGCTCTGTGGTGTTTGTTTGCTGGCTGGGGTTAGACCATGACAGCAGTTTGAGTTGGCTGGTCCTCAGTCCTGTTATATACAATATTTTGCATTAATCCTAAATTAATACTATAGGGCTATAGAGAGGAAAATAGAGAGGGTGGTCTTTCCAAAAAGCAGCATTTAGTGTTGTGCTCACCCCTCTTTATCAAATGGGACATTGATTCAATTGCCATGGGCTGGTGCTCAGTCACAGGCCTGAGGCATCTGTTCCTTTTCCTGCTTTGTTTTAGCTTCAGCAGATTTTTCTGTTGGCAGAGACAGCCTGTGAGGAAAAAAAGATGGTGTCAAGAAGGCTGGTGGTAACGATTTGTTGGTTTTAGGGGCTATGCCAAATCTAAGTGTGCTAGAATAAAAACACTTGCCCGTGGAGACAGACTTTTAACTAGGGTTCATTTAAATGCAAACAACAAAGCAGCAATCCGTTAGCATCAAGGAAGATTTGTTTTATTCTAGTAAAGGATTTGTCATTGGTGTGTCACAGCTCTAGATCATCACAAAGGTAGGTCACCTGTCCAGCAGATGCTGTAAGAAATCGGTTGCTTTGAAAGGAGTTCAAGTCCCACTGTGTATCTGATTGGTAGTGACATAATTTGTCCACTTTGATTTCATGCACTGTGCCTTTTCCAGATAAGGGCAGTCACTTGGCAAATCCATTAGAGTGATTCATTCTAAATATTAATGCAATGTTTTACAGATGCTGGATCAGTCAGAAGAAAACAGCCCAGTGTTTGTATTTCATCCTCTGCAGCTGCAGGCTCTGATTGCATAGGTAGCCTCACAGCCACTGACTTATTTTGCTCACCATCAGTTAAAGTTAACTTTAAAGTTAATTTTTCTTAAACTGATTTAAATCTCTGTTAAAAATCAGTAATTCAGCACTGCTACTTCAGCATGAAGTTTTGGCTTTCTATAACAATCTGCCTTTTCCAAGCCAAAGAAAGAGACCTAGAAGTTTCTTTCAAAGCCACAAGAAAAGAAGAATGTCTGTGTACTGAGGCAAGATGGAAATCTTGGAGCACTTCTTCATTGTCATGTATCTATTATCCTGTAAATATTCTTATGTATGGCAGCAGTTTTTATGTGTCACTTCTGGACTCTGAGACCTATTCATGTTTTTCCAGAAGGGCTTCAGGAATGGAGTAGTAATTTGTCTGGCCCACAAACTGATGCAGAAACAGTAACAACTTGTATAGAGTGGAGTTCACCCTCACAAAGTTTTTCTGAACCTGGTTTTAGCATTTGCTGTATGATAGATTTGATAGGTAAGGAGTAGCTGTAGGTCTTGTGGAGGAAAAAATGAACCACACATCTGGATACAAAGTACACTTGTGGTAAGGCAAGGTTTAGGACGTAGGACTTGTCCAAATTTCACTTGGATGTCATGTAGGAAAACACAACTACAGATTGACAGGGAACTTGAAAAAAACAAGGCCAGAGTGAGTGCTGTACAGAGTGCCTCACTCACTGTGCATCACACTTTTACTGAAGCTGATTCAAATCCAAGAGCTCGTTTCTGTTCTCCCCTAGTTTTTATCCTCCAGTTTCAACACCAATATTTATAGGTAGATACTGAATAGGGCTGTATCAGTTTTAAAATTCTGTGAATCCTTTAAGAGACAGCTGGAATAATTCTATCTGCGAGCTGTAGTGCCTAGACTTGACAATGCCTACCACAGTCATTTTTGAAGGCAGCTATAAAGGCTGCTAGAACCAGCCAGGTTAAGCTGTTTTTCTATTGCTTCTCTGGTCCTAAAGTGTCCAATTTCTCTCCAAGCTGGTTGCAGGGTTCTTTGAACCAGACTGTGCTCACCAGCATTATTAGCCCCACTTGGCCCGTGGATGGTCACAGCAATAATGATGCTGCACTTATGTTGTCCCAGCTAAATACTTTTGTTCTGTCCTTTATCTCCCATTATCAGCCAGCTTGTACTCGTCTCCCACAATCTGTTTGGAGACACAACAAGTGATGACTGATGGTAGGGTATACCATGTTCTAATTTTATTATTCTCTCCCATTTCTTCTTGCTGAATACAGCAATATCTGGGAACTACATTCCTGTAGTCAACTCTACTAAAACTGCAGATGGAATGTATTTATTCAGATGTTGTGTAGTCTATCTTGGATAGGACAAAATAAACAAAATTGTAGGAATTTCATTTGAAGCAGTAAAAGATGAGTTTTAACAGTTTATATGCTGTGTTATGGGTAAGTTAGACTAAAAAAAATACACTGGCTGGTGCATCCTCAGCTGCTAGATGATTTTTTAGATGATTCATTTATTTTTTAACAAATTGAGGGAAGGAAAGAAGGAAAAAAAAGTCCTAGGGAATCCGAGGCTTAGGTCTTTTAATGTGATTTCCTTGTTAGAGCCAGAGAGGAATGTCTGTGTGTCACTTGACAGCCTTGTTTGGGGTAGAAGTTGAAAATAGCTTGACTGCTGCTACTACACTGGATCTGCTTTTCACAGAGTTGTCCTGGAGCTTTAAATGTTTTATTTCTTTCAAGAGATTTCTAGATCCCATTTTATGTTATAATCTGAGGGAAATGTAAGACTGCCCAATTACTTGGAGCTGGTCAGAAAAAAGTGGGCAGGAGCTGTCCTTGCCCTGAGGCAGCAGGGAGGTTTCTGGAATGTACCAAGAAGAGATGCTTGGCCCCAGGGCAGCTGGGGGACTGTGGGATGTGGAAGAGGGAGGAATCTTGTCCCTTCACCTCGGCTTTACCTATTCTTCTTCTTCTTGCCAGCCTGGGCAGGTGGATGCCTTGGGATGGTGCCAGACGTGCAGTGGAGTGACCGGCCACTCGGTGGAGTAAGGAGACCTCGGAATGCCAAGGGAACACGCTGGCATCTGCAGCCCTGCTGCTGTCCCTGGAAACACCAGGGAATATTCGTTTGATCCTGTGAATTCACAGTGCAATCGGCTTTATGTGAACGGCGACAGAGGATTGTTTATTTTAGTAACCTCGGGAGAACGGGTAGTTTGGTCTTGGTGTAGTATGTGTGTTGTAAGAAGAAACAAATAAGGCATTAATGTGTTTGAATTTAGTCGGTTGTGCTCTAGGTGGGCTCATTTGACAGTTTTGCTCATGTCTTATAATCTGGTAAGAATGCTGTTGAACTCAAGCAAGAGCATTCATACTGTGTAAAATTAAACTAGTAACACTTCTACAAGGCAATGTCCTATAGCACTTAAGAAAATTACAAAGGAAGATCCTTGCTTGTAGAAACATTTCCCCAAAATTTCTAAGTTTTGTTCTTGATGTTTAACTTTTCATAATAGAAAAATAAATTAAAGGCAGTAAAAAAA